ATTCCGAGCTGGGGGAGGTAAGAGGAGGAGGAAGGAGTGCAAGGGCCTCTGGGCTGGATCCCCTAGGGAGCTGCAGGCCTGGCAGGGGCGACAGGACCAAAACCGCAGGGACTGGGAGCCAGAAGCACCCCTGCCCAGCCTCCCGCCCTCTTCCCTCAGGCTCCTTGCTGGCCCAGGCTGCGGCCCCAGAAAATACAAGAGAACATTGTAGGGGGTCACACCAGGACCCCTCCCCCAACCCCATGGCAGTTTGTGGGGCTTTGTGCCAAGGCCATTTAAATGCTAAGGCCCTGGCTGGGGGGAGGGCACGGTGGGAGTGGCGTGCCTGTGGATACTGTTCCCTCCAGGGGCACAGGACTATTCCAGATCTGATGGCTACCCAGCGACCCAAGGACCTGGGCAGGGAAGGCCATTTCAGTTGGGGGAAGGGTGGCAGCTGGGAGTCCATCCCAACACCTGCCTGCCTTCTTCCCCTCTCCCATCTGAGTAGCTCCAGCTCCTGTCCTAGTTCACACCCTCCCCCACCACCCAGCACATCCCAGCCCCTGGTTCACCCCTCGACGACCCTGGGAGCAAGCAGGGGACACACCAGCCTCTCCTCTTCTTCCCGACTGTCCCAGCTCTGTGACCAGCCAAGGCCTCCCTGACCTCACCCCTCAGCTCTCCCCAGCAGTGAGGGGTGGTGGTGCTCAGGGCTTGGGGTCCTTGCCTCCAGGGAGCACGGGTGTGCAGGGAGGTGCAGGTGGCAGCTCCTGCAAGATGGGGATGCAGAACAGGGCAGACTCACGTGTCTCCTTGGCTTCCTGGCACTGAACAGACCCTCCGAGAAGGGCACCACCACAGACCAGGTGCTCAAAGCATTTGCATCTAAAAAGGATCACAGCCACTCCACCCCCCCCCATGGGAGAGGCAGGCGGTGGCCTGTGGGGCTGGCATTAGCAGCTCTCCCAGTCGCCTGCCTGTCTGAGGTGAGGAAGGGGCGGTCCAAACCAGGATCCCTGGTTGGGGGGTGGGGTGGCAAGGCCCACCACCCAGATCCCAGGGAGGCGGTCAGGGACGGGGCAGCTATCCTCTGGGAGGGCGACGTTTCCCCAGCGGGTGACAGGCACTGTGACAGCCTCCTGGGCTAACACATCCGGGTTCCAGAAAGGGACTAGCCGAGGGTGAGAATGGCGCGGCGAGTTCAGGCAGGAGCCGGCCCTCTTAAGCAAACACAGCACACAAAAATAACTCCCATTCAGAGCGCCACTCGTTGGGGGCCTGGCTGCCTCCCCAGCACATAGCTCTTTTCACATGCACAACTTCACCCCTGAATGTGGCTGGGGGCGGGGGCACACCAGCCCAGCTGCCTGGGAGCCGCTGCCTGGGCTCCACTGCCTGCTTCCTGGACACAGATGCAGTACCAGGCAGCACTCTGGAAAGAAGGACTTTGCAGACCCCTCCACCCATGCCAGGCTCTCAAGGTCAGAACACCTAGCTCCCTGGGGGACGGCGGGGTGGGGGAGGTCACAGGTCCAGCCTCCATCCCACAGAGCCCTAGTTTTTCAGGGGGAGCCTCCTGGCAGGTGTGGTCTGCCATTCCGTTTTGCAGATGGGAAAATGGACACTCAGAGATCCTGCCTTAAGGGACCTCTCTGCCGATTCCTTCTCTTATCTCTGAACCTCCTGGTCATCCCAGCCCAAAGCGTGGGCAGCACTGAAACCTGCTCCTTGTGCATTTCTAACACTGGCACTGCCCACCACGGCCATCGTGTCCTCCTGAGGGAGGCAACAGGGAGGCAGCGGGACTCCAGATCCCAAACAGCCTCCTAAGAAGCGCCCCACCCCCGACCCTCTTTAGCCAGCCCCTGGTCTATTCTGAGCCAGCCTTGCTCCTCTGCAAGCCAATCCACCCAGCAGCCAAAGCCATCTCTCCCTCTCTCTCTCTCTCTCTCTCTCTCTCTCTCTATATATATATATATATATATATATATATATATATATTTACAGCCTTATTTCTTCACGAATAAAAGTAATTCATGGTCATGAGACAAGTGTGGGGAAATCAACAGAAGATAAAGCAGGAAATAAAAGTCGTCCGTGTGCCCAGCATCCAGAGTCAACCCCTGTGACCGCTACGAGGCACCCTCCTGGCCTTCTTTCTGTATCTGTCACCAGCGGGCAAGTGCACATGGGATTCTCTGAAATGGGCACTCTATCACTCAGTGGCCTTAGATCCTGCCTCCTCTCTCCTTATTGGAAATGATTTCCTAGGACAGAAACCATTCCAAGCTAACTACAAGCTTTGGCTCCTCCATCCAGTTTATGCCCGCATGAGGTTTTACACTGGGAACAAATATAAGGGTCCACACGCCAGCCCAAGGTGACCACCGCCCTTCCCTACGGCACCTAAGGCCACCGCCTCTTACGCACCAAGTAATCTTGCAGAACCATCTATCTCATCGCATCACTAACCAATGCACTAAAAACCCTAACCAGTCCTACTGGGTGGGTGCGGCCACACCAGGGCCTGGCCGCCTGGGATTTCTCCCCAGCAGCCTGTGTTGTGGCCTCCGGGGCTCTGCCTAGAGCGCCCCCCTGCAATGCCGTCCCCTCCCTAACACAGGCCCCTCCCTCCCCCCCACACACACCCTGGGTTGTGTCTAAGCACCTAGCAGGGGCAGACAACACTAGGATTACTTCACTTCCTGGGCTTCTACTCCCCATTAGAAAGACAACTACCAGACCACTGGGGTGCCACCTGTCTGTCTCTCCATCCATAGTCCCTCCACATAGCACAGGGCCAGGCACACCAGGGCTGCCCGGGGATTAACAGGTGGCTCATCAGGTAAAGTTGTCCCTTTGCAGAAACTCCAAGCACCAAAAGCCAGCCCCAGGGCGGGAGTTAGAGGATCAGCAGAAAGAGCACGGGGCTGGGCAGGGACTGGGCAGCCCACCCTACAGGTGCATCTGCAGGGTCCACAATCAATTTCTGGCACTTGGGACACAACCCAACCCTTGCTCCCCACTTACCCCAAATCCTACATCCAGTCTAGAGCAGCAGCAACCAGCAGACGCCACCCAGGGAGAAAGACCTGTAGGTGCTTCTCCAGGGACGACCCCGCCGGTCCCACCTGCTACTTTCCCCAGGGGGAGGCCCAGACACCTGGTTGTGGAAACCCCACCACCCCAGAGACGCAAATGCACACCCAATCCGGAGCCAGCAGCCGCCCAGGCGGACACTTCCTTCCGGGACCTGACTTCCACCCAAGCCACTTGCAGCTGGGCCAATAGTGATTTTTGACAATGAGGAAAAGCAACAGTGAAGCACTTTCACAAAATCCAAGGGCAAGAGGAAGGAAAAAACTCTGCAGTAGGAAGTAGACAAGAATTGCGCGATGTGACTTCTCCCCTCCCCTCGCAGAACGGACACCTATCCTGCCCGAGGGGGCACAGTGCCCAAACGCTCTGAGCTCAGCCACAGGTGCACCTGCGTGTGCCAGGCATCACGTGGGCACTAGAACCTCAGGACAGCTCCGCAAGGTCAGTACTGGGCTCTACTAACCCCACTGACCGGGAAATGGAGGCACGGAGCCCAGAGTTACAATGCCAGCAGCAGCAGCTGGAATGCAACTCGGATTCCTTGCACTGCATCTGGCTCAGCAAGTGGTTTCCCATTGTACGGCTCCAGCTCTGAGAAAACAGCCCCTTCACGCCTCACTCTACAGCAGGCTCATATCCTGCCCACTAGACCCCTAACCATGGGGCGCGGAGGTAAACCCTGAGGAAGAGTCTGGGCACTGGCCCGCACTCACACCATCCATGGGCGGGGACCTCGCAGGTGTTGTGTCCAAGCATCCGGGCTTGGCAGTTCACAAGGGACATGGTGAGCGCCAGGGGTTCTGCAAAGCCACCCTGAGCAGCCGCGTCTTCCCTGGCAGCGCGCTCCGCGCCAAGAAACCTTGCCCGGAAATTCCCACCGAACCCAAGCAAACTTCCCAGGAAAACTACGTCTTCCTCCAAGCTCCTGTCACGGAGGCGGTTGCCAAGAGCGCCGGCCGAGTGCTCACAGCTGCCGCGCGGGCCGCGGGGGCGGAATGGTAGCGCGAGCGCCCCGAGTCGTCCCGGAAAGGTCCAGGGACTGAACTTGCACGTCCACTTCCCGCCCGGCCGGCTCACGGCCCCTCCCGGGACTCCCGGCAGCCTGGTGTTAGTCTTCCCCAGGCGCAGCTCGGAGGTAGCGCAGCTCCTCCCGCGGGACGCGGGCGGCACACACGTGTGCACGGGACACGTGTGCACGGCGTGCGCGGGTGTGCGCGCGGGTGTGTGTGTGTGTGTTTACGTCCGGAACGTGCGGGGCGCGACAACAATGGCGAGCGGCCAGACGCCGCGCGGCCCCTCCGTGTTCGCTGCCTCTGGATGCGATTTGCTCTTCCAGGGGATGAGGAGAAAGGCTCGCCCTCACTGCGGCCGGCCGGAGGTGGGGGGGCTAGAGGAAGCCACTGTGGCGGCGGGGGTGGAACCGGAGCGGCGCGGGCAGAAAACAAACAGGAGGCGGCGCCCAGCTGCTCCGCCGGAAAAATAAACCTGGAACCTGGGGAGGGGTGAACGGCGAGTCCCCAGCGCCCACCCACCCGAGGACCAGAGCTATGCGACCCGATCCCCAAACCGAGGTGCGCCCACGTCGCCCCCGGCGCGCAGGATCACGGCTGGCCAGAAAGACCCAAGGCAGCAGGATAGGCAAGAGACGGACGTGGGGGAACCGCCAGCAGAGCTCGCGTGGCGCGCGCCCGTAAAGCCACCCACGGCTTTGGGGGCGCCACCCCTCTCCACCAGAAACTGGGTCCGCGACGTTGTCGGGGGCAGGTGAGGGTCTGTCCCCGCTCGGAAAACTTTACCGATGGAAAAAAAAACTCGAAGGAAAGAGAGCCGGCGCGTGCCTGGGTCCGTGGGGGCGCCAGTGTCAAACTTGGGAGGGAATGGGAGGAGAGGGGCGCGACGGCGCGCTAGGGCGCACTTACTACTCCGCTGGGCGCTGGGCTCGCGGCTCCTGCTCCCGCTGCCGGCGGTCCTCGCGGCTGGCAGCCTGGGCTGGGCGCTCACATGCCCCGGCGACGCGGCGGGCGGGCGGGCCGGGCTGGGAGGGGGCACGCCCCCCGCCGTCGGCAGGGAATCGCTCCCGCCCCGCAGCCACCCCGGGTCTGCGCACCCCACGCTGGGGCCGCCGTCCCGGGCAGCGATCTGCGTTCCGGCCGGGCGGCGCCCTCCGCCGGGCCAGGCCGCTCTCTGCACTCTGCCCTCTGCCCCGGCTCGCGGCCGTCTCCCCGCCTTCCGCGGCCGCGCTCCGGGACCGCCCGGACGCTGCGCCCGGCCCACTCGGCTGGCTGCGGCTCCGCGCCTCGGATCGGGCCTCCGGAGCTAGCCCCTGCACTCGGGGTGCAGTACCCCCAGGCTCGCCAACCCCGCGTCAGGCTCCTGGAGCCGCGCTCGCACACTTCAGTTCCGAACCGGGACTGAAGCAGGGCGTTTGCTGCTCGCTGCTGCGAGGCGACTCGACAGCCTCGGAGGAGAAAGAGGGAGACCGAGAGCGGGCAGGGAGCGGGGAGGGGGAGGAGGGAAGGAGGGAGGGTGGGGAGATGCGAGAGGAGGGAGGGCCGGAGAGTTTCCTCCTCCTGCCTGCCGCCGGGTCCGGCCAGGCATCAGCAGCTGGAAGCCTCACTGGGACCGGCTGAGCCTGGGTTGCCGGGTGAGCGGGCACGCGCGCGTGCGCGAGTGGAGCAGTCGGCGGTAAAGTTTGGGGTGGAGAAGGCAGAAGGGAGCAGGTGGGTCCAGCTCGCTGTCGCAGCTCAGGCCCTAAGGCGGCTGCAGGGGATCTTTGGTCTGCGCGGGTGACAAATCAGCCTAATCCTCTGCTTGCAATGTCGGCATCCGGTTCAAGTCTTGCTGCTCCATTTCCCGATCCAGCTCCCTGCTTATTACTTGGGAAAGCAGCCAAGGATGGCTCAAGTCCTTGAGCCCCTGCACCCAAATGGGAGACCCGGAAGAAGCTCCTGGCTCCGGATCAGCTCAGCTCCAACCGTTCTCGTGGCTGTTTGAGGAGTAAACTAGCAGATGGAAAGATCTCTACCTTGTTTACTTTCAAGTTAAACAAATAAATCTTAAGGGGAAAAAAAAAGTCCAGCACCCACCTGGATCTGAGGTTTACAAAAACCCTGAATCTGAACCTCCTTTAGGAAACTACTCCACCTCTGCAGCTTCCTGCCATCCCAGATGCCCCGGGCCACTCCCTAGGTCCGCCACATGCAGTGTCCTGGGCAAGTCCAGTGTTCTCTCCAGCCCTGTTTTCTTGCAGCTGGCAACATATGGTAATATTCAATACCCACCATATGCCAGGCCTGTGTGGATGGGTGCTGAGGATGCCAGGATCAGCTGGGCCCTTCCTAGATTCTTCTTTGTGGGGAGGAATGGGGACACACAACTCCAGGTGTGTGTACCTGTAGACCAGGCACAGGGAGTTGCGGGGACCACCACCAGGTGCACCAGGTTGGAAATTAGCCTACCTGAACTGAGTCTGGGAGGACTGGGACAACTGCCAGGAACTGCACCTGTCTCTGTCCCTCGGTGTGAGTGGCTGGCGTGGTGGTTAGGATGCCTCCCAAGGCCTCCTTTGGCCTAATACAGGCTTTGGGTTTCCTTTCTACCACCTTGCCCAGCAGTACTCTTTCTTCATCTTTTGGGTTCCAGCCTGAGTGTCCGTTCCTCTGGGCATCTTCCTTAATGGCCATGTTTGGGTTAAGTGTTCTGGAAGTCCCAGTGCGAGGTGCTGTGGTCCCCATTTGCTATCACTTGCCTCCCTCGACCGCATAACCATGAACTCCACGCATAGGGACAATGGTGTGGCTGGTGCGCTCCCTGAGCCTGTTCAGGACATGGCCACCTGCAGGCCCCAATTAAGCACATTTTAATTGATTGGCAAATTGAAGAGAAAGGACAGTGAGTGTTGTTGTTATTTTTTTAGTTTAGTTTTATTTTTGATGATATTTACATAGTTGACCAGAGTGGGAAGGACCAAGGGTCAGGGGAAAGTAGGTGAGACCATTGTTTCCAAATATCCTTTTTCTTTCTCCTGTATCTTGGGGAAATGGGCAGATAAGGGGAGAAGCCACACCCAGCCTCCCAACTGCCTCAGTACCTGGGGATGGGGAATGGCCACCTGCTGTCATCTCGGGGTCCCCAGTGTGGAGCATGCTCTGAGGATTCTGCTCAAGTGGTTTTCAATAGTTCTGAAATGCTGTCCATCTCACTGACCGAAGGATGAGGGAATCCTTCCAAGGTCCATTGGCTGAGACAGTCCACCTCACAGTCTCCATTCACCCAGACACTTGCTGTCGATTCTTGGCCATGGTAGTTGATCAATTCATTCTACTATCTCTCCTCCACTATGACACTCAATGTTCTCTGCAGGCCCCAATAGACTGCCATACCCTCCATGTACATCTGGGCATGCCGTCCACTGCTCTGTCTTTTCCACTGAGGAGGCCCAGTTCTGACACACGTAGTTTATGGTTAATCCACCAATCCTGCAGTTCTCCCCATGGTTGGAATTCTGAGTGTAGCAGTTCAGTTGGGAGGATCCCCAAACAGACCTGACTCTTTTGTGTGCTTGTCAATAAGGGGTCTGACTCTGTCACCTGTATCAGCCTACATACATACTGGTAGTTGCAATTACTGGGTCAGTTCTGACTCCAGCCCCATCTCTTACACAATCCAGTGACTACTGTGGCCCAGACCTACCTAGCCCACTACATATTCAGCTCTCACATACACCAGCAGGAGCTGCAACCAATTGGAATGATCCCCACTATCCCCCACTAGGCCCAACCCCAGCCCTGGTTCCTGTGCCTGCCAGTATGTGCAGCAGACTAGTCCAGGCCTTTCGGCTCTCATACATATCAATGGGCACTGGAGCCTAGTTCAACCCAGTCGACCCCAATAACCAGCCCACATCATGCCACCAGGTGCCACTGCCTGTCTAGCCAGACCCTCCCTCAGCCATGGTTCTCATGCTCACCAGTGGGAGTTGAAACCCATCAGAGAGGCGCCCACAGTTTCCCCACTGGGGCCACTCCCAGTTCCTGCACTCTCCAGGTGGTTCTGCAGTCTAGCTTGACAAGACTTGCCTCCAGTTCCAGCACTTGCCAGCTAATGCTGTGGCAAAGCGCAGTCAGCCTGCACTTACTCTGGCTCATGCGTGCACCAGTGGATACAGTCAGTTAGCCCAGCCTGGCTCTGCCCCAAAACAGTTCACATGCAGGCCAACAGGAGTTATAGTGCTGCCCAGCCTGGTTTGCCCCCAGTCCCTGTTCTCATACTCACCAAGGGAAGCAGTGGCCCAGCAGGGGAGCCTGTACTGCCCCCTACTATGCTTGCACCCCTCCCCTTGGGTCTCACATGTACTAGTGGGTGCCTCAGCCCAGTCTGGCATGGTCTGCTTCATCTCAGCATTTGCTGGCAGGTGTTATAACCTGACCCCGCCTGGTCTGCACTCCATTTTAGCTCATACTGGTGGGTGTTGGAGCCTAGCCCAGCCCAGCCAGCCCCTAGTCCCAGTCCTAATGTGAACTGGTTGGTGGTATAGCATGACCAGGCCTACCCTGCACCCCATCCTGCTTCTCACATCTGCCAGTAGTGTTAGGAACTGGCCAGCCTGGCCTGACCCCAGACCTGACCCACACACTATGCCAGCATGTACCTGGCCTGGTCTGGCTGCTCCATGGCTTTTGTGCTCACCTGAAGGGACTGCGTCATGACAGAGGAGTTAGGTGTCTTTTTATTTTTTATTATTTTAAGGACTTATTTTATTTATTTGAAAAACAGAGTTAGAGAGAGGGAGGAAGAGATCTCTTCCATCTGCGGGGGTCACTCTCCAAATGGTCACAATGGAGAAAGCCAGGAGCCCACAAGAGCTTCTTACAGGTGTCTCATGTGGGTTTGGTGCCCTAGCTCTTGCGCCATCTTCCACTGCTTTCTTAGGTGTATTAACAGAGAGCTGAATTAGCAGAGAAGTAGCCAGGACTCAGACACCCAATGGGGATGCCAACATCACAGGCTGCAACTTAATTTACTATGCCACAGCACCGGCTCCTTTTGAGGGGGTTCTGAGCAAGGCTTCCTGGGAGACTGGCCTAACAACCGAAGGCAAGGAGGGATCTGGGGACCAGGACACAAACCATGCAGCCTAGGGCTGGCATTTGGCATCCCACTCCCTGCTGATGCACCTGCAGAAGCAGCAGAGGATGGTGCAAGCACTGAGAAGACCTGTCTCTACCCGCTCTCTGTAACTCTGCCTTTCAAATATATCTTTTATAGAAAAAAAAATTTTAAATAATAAAGGAAATGGTGCAGGCTGGACTACACTAGGGATGGGAGAGTAATGGATAAAGAGGTAAGTAGGGGCAGTTCGTATTCACACGGGAGGGTCTGGTGTTTGGGTACCTGGCTAAAGGTGTTTCAGAAACTGGACAAGAGTCACCAGGGGCCACCATGCCTTACCTCCTCCTGGACGGCCTGGCGGTGTGGGCCATGTTCCTGGTCAGCGCAGGGGGAGACTTCAAGTCACAGCAGACGGAGATGGAAGAGGAGGAAAGAGTGGATTCCCCTGTCTCCACCGCTGCTCCAGCATCTTTCTCACTCCTCTCCAGCCACTGCCACAGAATCAAGATGCGGGGTGTCTGCCTGCTGCGTGTCAGGTGCCATTGGCCTGAGTCATACCTATTTGTACCTTACCCCAGTGCGTGAGCTGATGTCACCTGTCCAGCTGAGATGGGAGAAGATGAAGCTTAAGGTCATGGGTGTTAGGTAGAGGGAGGAAGCTTCCTGCCTGCATATTCTAGACCTTTCTACACCACGACCCCATTTCTCAGGAGCACCCGTCAGTCTCCTGTGCCCTCTGACCTCACAGGTAACTCTGCCCCAACCCCGCGTCCCTCTACTGTGCCTGCAGCTCTAGGTACTCTATGCTGATGATTCTGCTAACTATTGTTTGCATTCAGCATTTCTACTTAAGGTCCTCACAGACCCCAAGAGGCT